TTTTTTTTTTTTAACTACTTTCCTTGATGAAGCCCATTATCACCTGGACCAATGGAATTCTTTCTAAGTGGACACCTTCCTCTTGAATCACCCTGAAAATTATTCCCTACACAGCCATGACAAATCTGACCACCTTAACGTCACTGATTGCACAGGTCACAGGAATGAGCAGAGAAGAATCAAATAACAGCTGTGTGACTTTGGGCAAGGCTCTCTGCTCCCCTTTGCCTTCCTATGTTTTGTAGCAGAGTGAGCACAACACAGCACCTATGTCAAGGGCAAGGAATCAAGACTGAGCGATCCATGTAAGTGCTTAGTATTATGCCTGCAGCATAGCAAGCCGCAAACAATGCTACTGGAATTACTGTGACTATGATTATTCCCAACCTGTAGTCCATGGAGGTCCATGGATGTGCTTCAGGGCGTCCGTGAAGTCCCTGAAATTGTATGGAAAATTTGGTTTGCATGCTTATTTTTCTAAGGGAGGGGGATGGTCCAGAGCTTTTATCAGAAACCTTAAGTTTGAGCCCCTGCACCCAAGCCCTGAAAGTCTCTCCAGGACACAATGAGACATCCTGTCCCATAGGACTTCCTGTTTTTTCCCTCTCCAGACCCCACTACCCTCGTCTCCACACCATATTAGAGGCACAGCCATCCTTTGTGTTGACCTGGTCCTACTACTCCTTTTCACCTATGCCCTGGTCTCTGGACATCCTAAGCCGGTGCTACCCTCCTCCATTCACATCCGTGCACGGAGCATCCTCCATGGGCAGCTTCCTGTCGCCTATTCACCAGAGGAGCAAAGAACCTCAGTGTGCAGAACACTTCACCCCTGCCTTCAGGGATGCTCTCCTGCTGCTTCCATCCCTTCACGTCACCGCTCTTCCCATGAGTTCCAGGCGGAAGCGAGGAAGACCCCTCCAACTTCCATCACAAAGCTCACCAGCTTCCCTTCTTCAATGTGAAACTGCTCAGAGGAAGAGCTGAAGGACCCACAGCTCACCTGGGGCCAGGCTGTCAGGAGCATGGCTGCCATTACCTGCTCTCCCTCTCAGAGAAGGCCTGGAGCTGAGGAAAAACAGAGAGACAGATGTGAAGCAAGTCCCGCCCCTGCAGGAACAACACAGCCCCTCAGAGATGTGAGACACAGGCAGCCAGTGTCCAGACAGGAATGCAAGCGGGAGCTGCCACAAGAAGGGGGTGATCCAGTGCCCACGACCCCTCCCACCGATGACATTGATCCTAGGAACCCTAGGGTTTTACAATTCTGACACATATCACATACACTAGAGCATACATAAAATGTATAGAGAGCCTAAAGAATAATAAAGCAACAATTCAGCTCAAGAAATAGAACATTACCAAGATCATGGACTTACTTCTTTTTCTCTAAACAAGGATCATCCTCGATTACACTGCAAGGGAAGCCAGGCCAGCACGGCTGCAGCCCCAGCACAGACGCCTGAGAGTCATGCTCCAGGGAGCTGGAGGAGACAGCTATTCCCCTACATCCTGCTTATTCCCTTACATAACTGAGTGTTCTCAAGAGCCCTGATACCTCTGGAGAGATCTTGGGAGGCCAGCCTCCCACATGGCCCAGGTTTACCTTTGAGGTCCCATGCTGCCTCCTCATACTTTCCAGCCCTCTGATAGTGAAGAAGCCAGGGCCTCAGCATCCTGAGGGGTCACTCAATTATCTAGGGTCCCGTGACCGAGCACTCCTTGTTCATTGTATTCAAAACACATGGACTGGTTATTTTCCGGTTACTGCTCCCAAAGTCAGTCTTGAAAACCTGCGTTTTCCTAAAATATCATCTATGTCTTCTAGGGTTTCACTTTAGTGCAGAACTGTGGAAAACACTGGTTCATGATTCGTTCCATTTCTTCCATATCTGGAACTACTTTGTTTTTCCCACTTCTTTTGAATATGTGTGCTTTCTAGACCCCTTCCCCTTTGTTAATGTTATGGATGGAACATGTCTCCCCACCCCCCCCAAATTCATATGATGAAGTCCTCTCCCCCAACATGACTATATGTGGATATAGATCCTATGAGGTAATAAGGTGAAACAAAGCCATAATATGAGAGGTCTGGTGCCCCTATAAAAAAGCAGAAGAGACACCAGAGTTCATTTTCTACCATGTGAGGACACAATGAGAAGACAGCCAACTGTAACTCAAGGAGAGCCCTTATCAAGAACCGAATTGTGTGGCATCTTAATCTTGGGTTCCCAGCCTCCAGAACTGTGAGAAATAAATCTCTGTGGTTTAAGCCAAATAACTTACTGTATTTTGTTACGGCAGCCTGAGCAGACTAATAAAGTCAAGTGGAACAATGATTTGTCTATTTGAATGTTGTTTTCTTTTATTTTTAAAGAATAAGCTTTTCTATTTATTTAGAACATCACTCCTCTATTTCCTTCATTACGTTCTGCTTTCTTTGTTTCTTTAGCTCTGTAAGAGATACTTTATGTACCACTCCAAATCCTCTGGTCTCAGCCCAGTTCCAGAAGCTTTGATCAGCTTTGCGCAGGGACAACCTACCAATGCCTCCTCAAGGATCTATACCACATGTGGCTGGCTCCTGCCCTGGGGCTTTTCTGGCATCCTGTGTGGGACATCTGCAGATACCTGTGGATACCTGCTAGGTCCCGAAACACAGACAAGTTAAGGCTTGTGAGGCCACCCTTGACCAATAGGGGATAGAAGTCAATGGATAAATATTTTCCCCTTTAGTCCCCTACATTAGCAGCCATGAGATTCCAAGGCTGCTCAAAGATCCTGCAAGAATGAGCGCCAGGGGCCTATAGACAGGCCAGCCTGACAACACATCCTTGTATTGGCTCTCCCTCCTCTGTTTTACTCCCCCTGCTGTTCACTCTGCCCTTGGAATACATTCCCAAATAAAGTGCCTGCACAGAAACCTCTGTCCTGTATTTTGCTTCTGGGGGAAGCTAGACTGTGAAAGGTTTTTTTCTACCTTCCTGAGAATGCATGATTTATTCATTTATGTTTATTCTTTACTATTTAGCAATTAAAATCTGTATGGCCATAAATTTTCCCTCTGAATACACTATTACCCACAGGCCAGAGGTTTTGAAAAAAATATTTTATGTTTTAATTATATTAATTATATTTTATAGCTGGTCAGCAACTGTGTTTTGTCTCTGACCACAGAATTGTTTAGGATAGTTTGTTATTAATTTCTTCTCTGTTCATAATTTTGGCTTTATTGCATGGTGTTTAAATAACCTGATCTATTTATTTCTGCTTTACAAAGTTTTGGGGGCTTTTTGTTTTGTTTTTTTTAGCTGAAATGCCTAAAAAAAATTCTACGAATGCTTTTAAAAAGAAAACCTATCCTATAATGGAAGAACATATAATTCTATTTCAATCTAATAAATCAACTCTACTTATTTTGTTATGTAGATATTTTTCTGTAATCCATGATCACTTTTACCTAATTAAACTGAGATAGCCAGTAAAGAGCAAATGCTCACAAAACAATGAACCCACATGTATCATGAACAAATCTTTTCAAGTCTTTAAGAAACGAGTAGTTCTAACAGTACTGAAACTGTAGAAAAAAACAGCAAAATAAGTTTTCCAGTCCTTTTTATGATGACAGCACAATACTGATGTAAAAACCACAGACCAGTCTCATTTATGAATACTCACAGAAAAATCCCCACTATAAAGGAATAGACTCCAGTAGTTCATTAAAGTGACATGCCATGACTAAAAGGGATCATCCCAGGAAAGTAAGTAAAGCTCAATATCAAGATACAGATTAGTATACTTTTCACATGAATAAATCAAAGAAAAATAAACACACTCTCCATCCCAACAGATGCCAAAGGAATTTAATCAAATTCAATATTCATGCCTAAATTTAAAAATGTATGCCCTAGAGAAACTCTCATATGTAGAAAATATGTACAAAATTATTATCAGTATTTTAATTAAAAAAAACTGGAAACAACCTACATATCCACTGAGAGTACATAAACTGTCTTATCATTTTTTAAAAAAATTTTATGTTTTTAGTTTACATTTGAAAGACAGAGAGAGAGAGAGAGAGAGAGAGAGAGAGAGAGGGAATGAGTGGGGGAAGGGCAGAGAGAGAGACACACACACACAATCCGAAGCAGGCTCCACACTCTGAGCTGTCAGCACAGAGCCCAATGTGGGACTCGAAATCACGAATCATGAGATCATGACATGAGATGAAGTCAGACGCTCAACTGACTGAGTCACCCAGGTGCCCCTGTCCTATCATTTTTTTTTTTTTAATTTTTTTTTTCAATGTTTATTTATTTTTGGGACAGAGAGAGACAGAGCATGAACGGGGGAGGGGCAGAGAGAGAGGGAGACACAGAATCGGAAACAGGCTCCAGGCTCTGAGCCATCAGCCCAGAGCCCGACGCGGGGCTCGAACTCACGGACCGCGAGATCGTGACCTGGCTGAAGTCGGACGCTTAACCGACTGCGCCACCCAGGCGCCCCTGTCCTATCATTTTTTAAATGAACATTACCCACCCCCACCAAAAAATGAACATTACCCCGCAGCAAAAATGAACAGCTCACAATTACACACAACAACATAGATGACTTCAGGAACATAATCTTGAGTTACAAGAGGGGCACCTAGGTGGCTCAGTTGGTTAAGTATCAGACTTTAGATATCAGCCCAGGTCATGATCTCACAGTCGTGAGATCAAGCCCCACATCAGGCTCTGCGCTGGGTGTGGAGCCTACTTGGGATTCTCTCTCTTCTGTCTGTCTCTCTCTACCCCTCCCTGCACACATGTGAATTCTCTCTCTCAAAAAAAAATTAACTGAAATAAAATTATAAAAATAAAAATGTTTTCTTTTTTAAAAATTGAATTATACAAGCCCCAGATGACTAGAGACACTACAATGCCATTTTCATAAAGCTCAAAAACAAAATGTTTACAGACATATTTTGTGTGATAAAATTATTTTTATAAATAGGTAAGATGACGATTAATACAAAATTCTAGTTGTTACCTCTAGGGGTAGGAAGTTGGGAGCTGGGTTGAGAAGGAGCACACAGAGAGATGCACCAATACCAGAAATGTTCTCCTCCTTAAAGGGGTGGTGTGTTCATGGGTGCTCATTTTACCATTATGCTTCTTAAATGTCATGCTAGATGCAGTCTTCAGTATACATGAATAACGTTTTTTAAAAAGATACTTATCTCTATGATATGGAGTGGTTTCCAGAATATATCTTCAAATGAAACAAGCAAATGCAAAAGGTAGAGTGCTACCTTTTGTGTACCAAAAAATGGGAGTATAAGAAAATACACATGTATCTGGCCAATTGTACCAAAAAAAAAAAAAAAAAAAAAAAAAAAAAAAAAAAAAAGAAGGATAAATCAGAAACTAAGGAGAATGGTTGCCTCAAATATGGATAGGAAGTGAAAGGAGCCTGTGATGCAAACAGGCTGGAAGGACATAGGGTAGATGGATTGGCAGGGGAAAGGAGGGCGTGACAGGCTTCTCTGAGTGTGCCTTTTTGTTCTGACACTCATAACCATAGTAATGTTTCACATATCCAAATATACAGACATTAAGCCAACCAACCAGGATGGGATAGGGTGGCGAGCCAAAAAGGAATACAAACAACAGCAAATGAGCCTAACTATACTACAATTGACTAACATAACCACACTGAAGTGGTGGGAAAGAAAAGAACTAAATAACTTTGGAAAACAGTGTTTTAACTAGATACTACAAGGCTAAAAAAACCTGTGCCCAAATGCTTCTTGAGGATACATGATTTATTTACTCATTTCATTCTTCCCTATTTGGCAATTAAAACCTATTAAGGCCATAAATTTTCCTCTGCGTACACTACGAGCCACATTCCAGAGATATATACATATATAGATAGATAGATAGATAGATAGATACATATATATAGATATGTAGATATATACATATATGTGTGTGTGTGTGTAATTTCTCGTGTTAATTACTATAATTTAGTGTAGTATAGTGTTTTCGTAAA